CTGCTCACCCCTGCCACCCCTGCCCTCCCCTGCCGCCGCCTGCCCTCCCTGCTCACCCCTGCTGCCGCCTGCCCTCCCTGCCCTTCCCTGCCCATTCCCAGCAGATGCAGAAATTTCAGTCTGTTTCGTTCAGGAACAGTTCCCCCACACCAGCTGTGCCACGTCCACCAGGGGTTGTGGGTGTGGACCTCACCCCCAGAGCCACTGTCTGCTGGGGCACTGGGCACGGAAGCCCCTAGAACAGCCATTGGGGATGGAGAGCAGGGGGCCTGGGTTTGGAGGTGTAAGGGCTGAAGCAGCTGAGCCGACCTGGGGCTTCTGGGGAGGACGGGGGCTCCCGACAGGCACGGGGCAGGGGTAGCTCGGCCTGTGGGGGCCACCAGCATAGCACCAGCCACGATGCGGAGATGCGGGGAGGGTGGGCAGGCCCGTCGCTGATGATTTGCAAGGAGGTAAAAGCCAGTGTGTCTTGAGGTTTCATGCTAAGTGTGATCCCGGGCACCTTCTTGTCCTCGGAGCCGTGGGGAAGCTTCTGGACGCCAGGCTTGGAGTGGACATGGGAGGAGGGCCAGGGAGGATGAGGTGGGAGATTCCCACCCTGTGTCTCTGTCACCACTAAAGCCTCGGTGAGGAGGTCAAGCTGATGTCCAGCCTTGGGGCCAGAGGACGGGAGCAGGCTGCCGGAGGGGCATCTGGGGTCAGAGCACCAGGGGGAGCTGACTTCCCACCCCAGCTGAGCCAGACCCCACGCCGGAGAGGGGGGCTGGCCTCCAAGACCTGGGAGGTCTGCAAGGCAGCTGAGGGCCATCTGAGGGGCAGCCGGGGTCCAGAGCCCCTCCCTGAGGCTTGTTCTCTGGGCTGTTGGGACTGAGGTGCCTCTTCACACCGTGACCATGGCCCAGGCCTGGGCCCCAGAGCCGGGAGCCTGGGGACAGTGGCTGGTGCCCAGCCGCCCCTTCCCCTGCACCCAGGAGGGGACCCCTCGGGTGAGCCGTCCTTCCTGAGGCGGGGGGTGCTGCTGGGGCTCCCTCGGAGGGCCCAGCAGAGCCTGGGATGTTCCAGGCAACCCTGTCCCCCAGGCCCGAACCCCTGCCAGCCCAGAGCCCCCTGGTCGTGAGCATCCAGGTGGGACTGGGACATCGGATAAAGGGCTCTGGCAGGAACAGCGGGGCGGGGACCCACATCTTGAGATCCCCGTGCAACCGGAGGGAGACCGCGGTGCCATGTCAGTGCCTTGGGGCATCCTGAGGGCCAGAGAGGAAGCGCGGCAGACGCAGAAAGCGCCCCTGGCGGTGGAACACCGAGCAGAAGATGACAGAGCTGGGCGCACGAGGCTCTCAGGGGTCCTGGGGGCAGGAGTTCTAGAAGACGGGCAGGGGGACGCAGGGAGGAACTCAGGGCCATTTCCAGGTGGGGGCTCAGGTTCAGACCCCGAGGGCTCGCCCCGTGCCTGGCACCAAGACTGCGGACTGAGGCGCGGGCCGCGAAGGGGCAGAGACGCATGGGTAGAGAGACAACAGTGGGCTGGACACACGTGAGGACTGGGGGCCTCAGGCTCCCTTCGCAGCCCTGGAAACCAGGAGGGGGTGGGGCCGGGGCCGCGGATTTCTAGACCGCTTTTCCCCGCCAATCCGTCATCATGGAAACAGCCCCAGACACGCAGAGCTCCCACCTCATGCTTCCCAGGCGCCTTTCTCAGGGTGCAGGGGTAGTGCCTTCCCCCCGCCCCCCAGAGAGTGAGCAAACCACGAAAGAGGACAAAGTCAGAGACGGAGGGCAGAGGCAGAGCGGGAGGGTGGGAGTGGAAGCCCCGGGCTGGCGCAGGGGTCCCAGGGGCAGCGAGCACCTGGGGGGGCCTGTCCCCACGGTGATCCGTGTCTGCGGTCACTGCCCTTGTCCTCGCCCCACAGCCAGCTTGCTGAGGTTGGAGACCCCGTCCATCCCATTAAGGGGAGGCTGCCGGTGAGGTTTCCAAGTGCCGTGCCATATCGCCTACGAGCAATAATGCAGGCAGCAAATCTTGAAGGAAAGCAAGGAGCTGAGTCGCGAGCCGAGTTGGGAAAGAGTCTGCCTGGTGGGACAGGGCATCTGACCGGGGGGCTTCCGGGCTGTGTACCCCGCCCCCCGCCGTCGGGGCTATAGCTGCATCTTCTTTAACTGCGTGTGCAGCGCCCCAGGAGCTGGAGGGAGGGTGTTCCGGGGGCCACACCCAAGGGGGACGTGGGGAGGCCCCGGGTGACCAGGGGATGCTAGGGAAGAACGAGCTGTGTTGTGACCCTGCTTCCCCGATGTCATGCATATAGAGCCTTCCTTGTGAAGAGCCCCTCAGTTGTGTCTCCAGCCAGAGCCGAGGCCGGCGAGTTAGCAGGGCGTGGGGCTGTGTGCGGACGGCAGGACGCCAGGGAGTTGTGGCCTCTGCAAGCCTTGTTGGCCCAGCTAGCCCCCAGCATTCTCGAGAAGCACTGGGCGTGGGTATTCGGCATGCGTCTCCGTGAGCCGATCCATAGACATGGGTGCTCTGCTCAGCGCTGTGCGTCTATGCTCATGGGTGCGCTCACCTGACCCTCTCCGTTATCCTACTGGATAGGTACTATGAACCCCACTTACAGGTGGAGAAACTGAGGCTCAGGGACACAAGAAACGTGGCTGAAATCCGGAAGGTGGTCTGTGCTGGGGCGGGAGGCAGCCTGTCAGCCCACGCTGTTCCGCACTGCCTTCTGGGGGCGTGGGCCCCGGCTCCAAAGCCTGGCTTTGCACACTTGTGTCCAGGTTCATCTGGCCTCATCTTGGCCCTGGGGAGTGGTGGTGGCCTTCCCACAGGCAAGGGAGTCAGAGCATAGGGTTCTCGTCAGAGTCTGGGGACGGCGGCTGCCCCAAGCAAAGGCCAGGTTGGATCTCTCCTGGACAGCAGGCCACTGAGCCCGTGAGTGCAGGGGTGGGTCTGGGGATGACGGGCTTCCTGTGCACCAGACCTGGGCATGTCCCAGGCTCTGGACATGACTCAGGCCGTCCCTTCTGCTCCCAGCTCTCTTCCGTCTGTGTGGGCTCCTCCTCGTAGGCATTACCTGGGGGGCCCAGGTGTGGGACCTGCATTCCAGCCTCTGGGCTAGGGCCCTGCCAGGAGGGCTGGGCACCCGGAGGGCCTGGCCACGTGAATTCACTGCGTCTCCTTTCCTACCCCTTGTTGGGCAGAGACAGCCTCTGTGTAGGAAGCAGCTCCTTCCTGTTGATGGCTCAGGCCAGGCCATGTTCCCCAGGACAATGCAGGAAGGAGGACACGGGGCACAGAGCCTCAGGCCTGCCTCACCCCAGCCTTCGTACCCGTGGGGAGCCGAGGTCGGAACCCCTGGCCCTCCTGCTCCTGATCTGCATGTGGCACTCAGCCAGGGGTGGGAAGGCCCAGGCCGTGGACAGGGCGGGTGCACCCTGGCATGTGTCCGTCTAGCCCTCTCTCTGGAGCATCTTGGGGGCTGGTCGCCAGTCTTGGCTCCCACCTCCAGAGGCCGCTGGCTGTGTTCAGGGCGAGGTTGCCATTCGGCTGACTCTGGGTCCCCGAAGCTGCACCGTGGTCGGCTGTTTGAACTGTCCAGAGCCCACCTGCTGGACAGACGTGGCACCTCATGGGTGGCTTGCTGAGTGCCCTTCGGAGGTCTGATGACATGGACAGGGAGGCCCTTGGGGGAGGGGGCTCGAGCCTGTCCTGTCCAATGGGGGTCGCCCCCTCCTGACCTGGCAAATGAGGCAGCTGGCTCTTGGCCTTAGAGGTCCCTCTCCTGGGGCCCACAGAGTGTCTTAGACGATGAGGGCCTTGTGGGTCGTGCATCCCTCTGCCTTGAAGAAAGGGGTCAGGCCTGATGTGTCCTCTGGGCAGACTGGGAAGTCCTGGGAGCCCTGGGGGCTGGGCCCAGACTGGGGGCTCTGGGAGCTCACGGCCTCCCAGGGAGTTGGTCACCCGCATGGGGTGTAGATAGAACTCAGCCGCAGAGCTTCCTTGCTCTGTTTGGTCTTGGTTGAGATGGGAGGTCTGGGGTCTGGGCCAAATGAGCTCAGGGTGTGTGCGGAGGTCACCTCACTGGCGGGGGGTG